AAACTATAGACGCGGCTCTAGCTAATCTAAAAGCCAAAAAAATGTGTCAGTTTGTGGCAAAAAAAGCTTTTATACGTCAAGTTTGCTCATGCATTTATCTTACATTTTTTGATTAATTTTAATTATGGCGCCTACAATTGCACAAAAGATATAAAACTGGTACAGATATATCATTTCACGGTTAAGAGTTTGTATTGGTTACAATAGTAATAAATAAATAGTTTAAAAGAAATAACATAGTAATTAATATATTAGAATATACACACAAAAGCATGTTTACATAGTTAATTATACAAACATGAACTTGTTGAAGCATTCTTCTAATAATAATGTAAAACATTTTGTTGATAATCTACTTGAACACAGTCTCATTCCAACAGTTATTAAGCCAACCAGAATAACTAAAAATTCTTCAACAGCCGATAAAATAATAACCATGTTTGCACAGGTATAGCTAAGACAGACCTTTCAGATCACTTTCCCACTAACAACTAAAAATATAGTACCAAACAATACCTCCCAACCTCGTTTGTAACGAGAGAACAATGAAAACTCTTTACAAAAATTTAAAATTTTACTAAAAAACAATGTTGAGTGCATTGCATTAATATAGACGTTTTAGGTTAAATGTCATGGTAATTGAAAAATATTTGGTAAACTATTAGACTATGTCAACCTGACAAGGAAACAAATAAAAACAAAATAAAAACCGCATCTTCTTGGGAGATTTTGATGATTTTTTAATGAAACATCCCGCACAAGGGTGTTTAAAATGGGTGAACTCAGAGGTTTGTTCACTGAAAACACCAAAGGATCTTTGTTTTCTTTCAATAAAAAAAGCAAGATGGGCTTGTATTAAGTGGAATTTCCATCCCAGGCTAATAGAATTATTTTTTATGATTCTTAAGATTCTAAGTTGCACATTTTGACTCAATTTACAGACATTAGCACATCTGTAAATTGAGTCACTATATGCTCAAATAAATGCAGTTCAGGAGATGATGCTATGTTAGTTACCAGAGTCTCTGGATTTTCTTGTAGCAAACATCGACCAACAACATTTTTGTAAATCTGCATGTTCTTGTATTGCTCGCCGTCTTCTACATACTTTAGGTACCAATCATTAAGACTTTGAAATATTCTTAACAGGCTTTCCGCTATCCACCTAACAATAAAAATTCAATAATGTTTTTTTAATGAACTTTATTTTAAGTTAAAATGCTTATGCATAAATTAATTATTTCAGTTTCTAATAAAATAACTTACTGAAAGACCCAACATACTGTTGATTAACTTGAGATCTGTTGCCACATAAAATTTTAATTAATCTCAATTAATCTTCCTAAGTTGTAATTGCTCTCTTGAACTCCACGTGCAACAGCCAAAATTTGCACTTTATTGACGCCAGTGAGTTTTTACAGTCTGTTGAAGACTCCGGATCAAAAATGTTGATTACAATTTTTAAAGACCCTTGGCCACCATCAATTCCCACCCGAATAATGCAACGGAATGGATTCAGATCTCTTTGACTGCATATTTCTTTTACTAGTTTCCATGGTTTAGGAACATACACAACATCTTTGGAAATTAGTTCAAAAGCTTTCTTTTTAGCAACCTAAAGAATTTTTTCAGAAGATATATTATAAAAAAGAATATTTATAACACTTGAAGAAATGTTTAAAGTATGTAGTAACTACCTTATAACTGCGCTGAAACTCAATTGTCTGATTGTGATAATACTTTTCAAGAAAGAAGGACTTGTTTTTAATAATCTTTGATGCATTTGACTCAATACCTTTGCGTCCTAAATCTTTTCTAATCTCAGTCATCATACAATCTATAGCTGTCATTGGAAGATCTGTTTTCCTTTTTATGTTGATTAACGTGTTGGTAGAAATTTCCCTCAATGGTGTCTGGATACAAGTTTACTTTCATTGAAACACCACCTTTTTAGAAAATAAATTTTATTATAATAGTTTAATTTAAAAATTTCAAGTTTTAAATGAAACTTACTTGTTGCAAAATTTAGGGTTTTGCTTCCCTCTTTTGTAGCTAATTCCTTAAATACAGAAGATACGACTCTCTGTGAAATCTTTGAACCTTTCGATTGTATGAGATACTGTAGATTTCGAATTTTATCCCTCTGTCCACATGGATGTCTGATACCCTTACCCACTTTCTGGTGGCAATGCGAGCAAAATGATTCATCAAGGTCTACAGAGTTACTTTGTTTAGTTGACGTTTCATTTACAAATTCTGATAGGTTTAATTTTGTATGGCTTCTTCTATCTTGTCCAATCCTGCAAATTGGATTCACACAATGATCTATCTGCAATAACTATTCTTCTCTGTTTTATTAAAATAAATGTACCTTTTTTCCAGGACTCTTCCATTGATTTACTAATACTCAAATCGTTCTATAAAGTTTTTAAAATTGCAAACTTTTAGATAATTTTGTATCAAGCTTAAAAATGCATATTACAACATTATGCAATTACATATTACAATGCACATTACATATTATGCAAAAAAACGTTATTAACTATACTTGCCTTCTTTAAATACAAACTTTTAACACAAGGGCCATAAATGCCTAATAAAATAATTTTAATTAAAACTTTTTCCATATTTAAACTAATCTAAATTTATATTTATTATAATATTATAAAATTAAATTTATATTCAAATGGCTTACATTTGAATTGAATAAAAAATTATAAATTTTTGATAAGAAACCCAAATATCAATGTTTTTTACTCGAGAACCAGTGTTAAAATGCAGTACATATATAGTACATATATATTTTAAACATGAAAAATATGAATGTGACATAAACAATTGTATACACACGGTGTATATATTGATTAGTTTTATCTATACTAGTTTACACACCCTTTATGTCTCATAATAAACACCCTTTTATAGGGTGTTTCAGTAAAAAACTACCAAAATCTCCCAAGAAAATGCGGTTTTTATTTCGTTTTCAGTTGTTTCCTTGTCAGGTAGTCTAATAGTTTGCCAAATATTTTTCCACTACCATAACATTCAACCTAAAACGTCTATATTGATACAGTGAGTGGGATCTTATATTGAAATCAACCAATGCGAACATCGCCTAATAACTGTTTCTTGGTCAATTTTGTAAATATTATAAAAAAAGCGTCTAGTTAAAACAGTTTTTATAAACAAAAAGTCACTTTTAACTCCCTGGATGTCTATAGGTTTAATCAAATCCTTAAGAAAAAAACAAAAACTCTACGAAAAATTCCTAAAAAAACTTATAAAAATGAAATAACTAACAAAACTATAAAAACTTGTTTCAAAAAACAAATCAATAATCAAAAAAGCTTTATCATTCAAATTTGTTTAAAAAACAACTATGGAAATGCTTATAAAATATGAAATACGATTAAAGAGATAATCGGTAATAATAACTGTACAAAAAGCAATCTGCCAAAAAAACCGATCTGCATACTTTTGATCGATGGTAAGTTAGTCAGGGATAATAAATTTAGACCTATATCAGTTTTACGATGTTTTTCTAATTTACTAGAACGCGCCACGTATTATAAATTTTACAGTTATTTGAAGGAAAACATTTTTTATTCGGTAAAAAATTTGGATATAAAAAAACCACTCAACTGGCCATGCTATAATTGAGCTTGTTACACATATATTTCTAATGCTTTAGCAATGATTGCTTTACGTTAGGAGCTTTTATCAATCTTTCTAAAGCTTTTGACACCGTAAATCACGACATTCTTCTAAAAAAAAAGTTCAAGTGTATCGAGTAAAAAATAATAGCTTACTTTGGTTTAAAGATTATTTATCAAATAGAAAGCAATACATTCAGTATGAAATAACAAAAACAACAAAAAGCATCATAACTTGCGGGGTTCTCGAAGATCTTGGAACCGTTACTATTTTTACTCTATATAAATGATTTATATCCAACATCAAAGTTATTGAAATTAATCTCATTTGCGGATAACCCCAACTTGTTTTATTCACATTGAGACATTAAGAGACTTTTTAACATAGTTAACAAAGAATTAAGGGAAGTGGGAGCATAACCGCCCCCGTAACATTTGGATTAATGTTATATGAAAATAAAAACGAAATGAATGTTTCTAACAGTTTATTTCAATGACCACATTATTAAGCTTTAAATTGATGCAATTAAGAAAAAAATTAAACTGTTTTTGAAAATGTTATTACACTAAAATTACACTTAATGAAAAAAACGGTTTTATCCCCATTGTGAGGCACAACCGCACCCACATAAAAATTGTTGAGGGTACACTAATCTTTTGTACATTTTTCAGATTATTTACTGATTTTGTTGCACGTTTGGATACTGTGTAGGCATTCTTTGTATTTACAAGCAGAGTTTTTTCATTCGATATAGTCTTATCTTTGCACAGCAAAATCCAAGATTCTTATTTTAAGAAAAAAAAGTCTTAAAACAAGAAAAAAATGACTTGTCCGCCACGTAAGAATATTTTTTCTTGTTTCAAGAATTTTTATTCTTAAAATAAGAATTTTTTTCTTGTTTTAAGAACTTTTTTTCTTAAATATTTTTTTTTCTTGTTTCAAGAATTTTTATTCTTAAAACAAGAATTTTTTTTTCTTGTTTCAAGAATTTTTATTCTTAAAACAAAAATTTTATTCTTAATATAAGAATTTTTTTCCTTGTTTTAAGAATTTTTATTCTTAATATAAGAATTTTTTTTCTTAATATAAGAACTTTTTTTGTTGTTTCAAGAACTTATATTCTTAAAACTAAGTATTTTTTTCTTGTTTCAAGAACTTTTATTCCCTAAAAAAAATCATTTTTTACTTGTTTCAATGTTATTTTTATTTAAAACAAGATTCTATTTTTTTTTCAATAATATTTCCCCTGAACTATAAAACAATATTACAAAAGCACTTTTTCTATGGAAAAAATGAAACATTATTTTGAAATTAGGATGATATATAATAAGAATATTCAACAAGCATTTATACATTTAAACAACAAATCTAATCGTTGAAATAACAAATTATTCTTTGGAATGTTTTATTATTGGTCATGCTTGCAGCGGCAATACTCCTCCTATGTCCAAAAAAAGCGTACTCCAATAAGTTCCATCACGAAGTCAGAAAGATAAAAACTTCATAAAATAATCTGTTGCTACACATAATAATCACTTCGTCTCCATCGTCTGTAACGTACAGATAAGGATTTCTTATACCTGAAAATAAATTTTACAAACTCAAAATTTAACAATAATATCTTTTTAAATCTTAAAATGTCGACAATTTATAACTCATTTTAGTTTTACTAATTTTGAGGGTTGTGTATGCATGCATACCTACCTGTATTTGGGTGGCAGTGGGCGAGGAACTGCCAACTTGTGTATTCCATAATGCAAAAGTGTATCGATGTTTTTATTCTTGCTGAGTCAACTGTGACAGAAGACTTCAATACATGTGCCATGTCGCCAACAGTCTGAATTAAATAATAATAATAAAAAAAGCATACAACTTTAAAAAGCAGAGAAAACTTATAGAATAACCCATTAGAGGACATAGCAGTTTTGAAAATACCTTCTCATTTAAAAAAGGATTTGTGATTTTCAAACACTATTTCATTTTATCCAATAAATATATGAAATCACAAAAGAAAAAAAATTTTTTTTCCAATAGCACATTAGGGACACATTGATATTTCTCTAAAAATGCTGCAACTCTATCAACTCTCTCAATTGGAAATTTATTTACCCAGGTTAATAAATTAAAATTATATACTTAGTTCAATTAAAATGTTCTAGTGCATTTTAATTGATCATGTTATAAAAATAAGGATAAAAAATGTAAAAAATTAAAATTAATTAATAATACTAAATTTACTAATTGAAAAGAATTGTTTTCTTTACTTACTTTACTTTGCATGTATTTGGAAACTTGCAATTGCTTAAAAGAAAACACACACATATATGTCATATATGTGTATGTATGCAACATAAACATGGGAATTTAGAAATAGTACTAATACTAATCTTAAGTAAAAACCAATAGTATAATAATAGCAATAACAATATTAAAACAATTATAACGAGGTAACTAATGTTAACAATTATATTTATATTAATATAATAATAACAACAATAATAGTAACAATAATATTGATAAATATTAAATTTAATATTAAACAATAACAATAAGTAATACTGATATGAATAGAAGTAAAATAACTTTGATATTTATATTACATATAATCATACCAAGAGCAATAATAATGACCAACAATGAGCCCAACATTTTAAGAACAGTAATTACATTTTACCAAAATAAAAAGACATAGAGATGAGTTTTAGTAGTAAAGTTTAGTGATATAAAGTGAATATAAAAAATAAATTATTCTATGAATAAAAAATGATAAATTATTTCATGATTTTATGCATTGGTTTGTGATGTGATTTGTTATGCTGTACTTAACTGAACAATGATTTAGAATATATAATTTAAGGTTGCTAAAAGAGGAAGATAATTTTGAGAATTTTTTATAGAAGTAAAGAAATTACAGATTGGAAGAGGTAGGGTAACTTGTGTGTGGTTTCAGACAAATAGACAATTTAATAGATGAACAAGAGCACACAATTTGATTTTAAATAGAAATAAAAGAATATTAGAATTAGAGTGATATTCTTGAAAGTAAATTAATTTAAATATCTTGTTTATACATTAGATATTCATAAAAAATTATTGGTTTATAAATTATAAGTATATATAATATATCATATTAGAGTGTTTGTAGTATGTTTGAGAAATAAAATTTATATTAATAGGTATGTGGACTGATTTTTTTAAATTGATCCATACTAGAATGTTATATATCATTGGAAAGCCCTCAAATACAGTATTTTAAAGGTGAAAAAATGATAAAAATTAGACAATTCTATAAAAAAATATAACGTTTTTAGTAGCAATTTTTCAATATATGGATTTCTTGATAAAACTGGTCAAAAAAAAATTTTTTCCTACATAAATTATAATAACTTTGACAATTCTTATTAAAATATCTATAACTTAGTATCAAAAGATAGATGTAAAAATGGGCTATAATTTCAAACTAGTTTCTAGGGCGCATGTAGGGATCCAGAGGGGGTGCTAATCCGCCACCTACACCTCACAAAAATACAATTTTTTTTTTTAAATAGAGTGTTTTCTTTATAAAATTAGTTATATTTTTATACAGCAAGTTATTATTTATTTATTTCACATCACTAGCAAATATTACAGGTTTATCTTAAAGTTGGGTGTTGGGTTTTGGGGAAGGTTTAACACACCCTTTCAAAATTTCATTCTTTTAATTATTACAATCTTTACTAAAATGATTAAATCTATTATAAAAAACAAAAAAATATATTTCAACACTATAACAAAGAGTAACTAGTGGTGTATAGATCGCTTTGATGAAAGAGGGTGTATATGGCCCCTCCCCCTCTGCCATGAACCTGAAAAAAATAATTTTATGAAAATTTCTCAAAAAAATGTTAAAATGCTTTTTTAAAAAACAGAGAGAAATTAGTATAAAAAAATATTTTAACACATTACAAAATGCATCAGAGTAACCATTTTGTCTTGAAAAAAGACAGATTACACACTCCAACCTAAAAAAAAATACACAAAAACAACAAGCCTTTTGAAATGAAAAAGTTTAGTATCAGGGGCGGATCTAGGATTTTATATAGGTGTAGCTAAAGTTTGTAAAATTACGTCATAATTGCAACTATTTAATAAGTCGGTTAGTCTACGTCAAAAAGACGTCCGATAATTACGTCATGCAGACGCCGCCAGATAGTTTTTTTATCTGAGCGTTTTTAATTCAGTTTTTGCACACATATTTTTTTCATTTATTTTTAATGGATCCTAGTAATACAATTAATGGTAAAATATAAAATTTGCCTTGGCTATTCTGTTCGTAATTTAGACATGTCTAATTTACTTAACAAAGTGCACCAACTAGAAGGTAAGCCATAGGACTTTGCACTCCATATGTAAGTTGTTATGCTGCCTAAAGTTAGCTTTCCAATTCTGGATTCTTTCCTTTATATTTTTGTTACTAATAGAATAAATGCAACTATTACTGCATTAACAATATGATATCGTGATTTATTCAAAAGATATTTACTTCAAAGTAGTTTATTACTATATATAAATATATATTAAAAAAAAAAAGATTTGAACAGTCTCACTATCTATAGAATCCTCAGGAAGCTAATTTATAACATCTTTGTTTTTTATGATTATTAAGCACTCTTTTTGTAGCATACTCAAACGAAATTAACACACAATTAAATTTTTTATTTTGTGGTTTACATTATTTAGTTTAGAACAATTTTTAAAACATTTTACACTTTAGATGTCAAGGATTATGAAATGTACACAAAATAGAAAATAAAATTACTTATTAAACATTTATAAAAAATAAAAAAAGATGCTCTAAGAGTAAATTAAACAATGAAAAAAACAAAAAAATGATTGTAAATATAAGAGAGATTCAATTATTTTATTCACATATAAATATAATTATTATTCAATCATAGCCAATTATTTAAGGCTTAAATAGCAACTTTAAACATCTCTCTCTATAAGCTGAAAAATTTTTGTTAACCCCGTCTTTATCAAGAACCATTTCGGTATAAATTGACATTAAAGCTAGGTCATTCAATGTCTTTTTTAACACTCTACTTCTTGAATAAGTTTTTAATCTCTTAGTATTGTACCTAGAATTAAACCTTTAAAATATTCAAGAATGTTGGGGAAATTAGTCATTGTCATGAGTTTCGTTTATAAATTACTAGATAGGGGTTTTGACTGATCTTTTTAAAGAGGCTTCCATAATCCAACTCTGCATGAATAAAGGTTGAATGTAGAGTTGGAATGATAGATATCTAGAAATTCCTGAAAGATTTGCAAATCTTAGTTAGTTTTCATGTAGCTTAACATGACAGTTGGAACTGCAAACATCCCATATAAACCAACTTGCTTTCTGTTTGAAATCTTATATAATTAATAAGTTCATTAACAAGATGGTCCAATAGAGGTAAAGTGATAGAAAGCTTAAAATAATAAGATGATGAGTGATTATCATGATTGATTTGCTTTCCACATTTTTTAGTTTTTTTATTCGTTTACATTTAAAGTAAGAGCTAACTCAAAAGCAATATTAGACCAGTTGTAGCGATATAAAAAATTCAACCCATCAAATTTTGGTTAAAACTAAAGTTACATTTAAATAAAATTCAAACATCAACTATAAGGAGACTAAAAGAAAAATACCTAGACTTTTCTGTTTTCAAACCCAACAAGTAAAACAAACATTGTTAGCTTTACTTTTTCAACAGAAAGATAATTACTTAAACATGCCTGTATTTTCCGACTAAGGGCACATTTAAATAATTAAAGACAGTCAACAAACCTTAAGAAATCTTTACGAGTATTATAGTTATTGCCTATATATCTTATAACGATAGACTACTGTTTAAGATTGGCACAATCAGATGCTTCATCAGCTAAATCTGAATAGTATTTACTATTATTGATTTCAGAAATAAGCATCTTCTCAAAAGCCTCTCTACAACACTTCATAAGTTGATTTTGTGCAGTTTAAGAAATAATGTAACATTTTTAGGGACAGATATTAAATGATTTTATAATATAGTGTCACCTGCATAAATTTCAAAATTAAGTAGTTCAAAAATATTTCCTTCAACTCTTTCTTGAGGACTCTCTTCGAAATATTATAGTATAAAATATAAATATAATACAATATTGGAGACTATAATACAAGAGACTCTTATATTATAGTCTCCAATACTGTATTATATTTGATTCTAATTAACAATAAAATCAACTTATAAGATTCTCTTTAATTCAACCTTCAATTTGAAGATTAAAATTTTTTTGAGGAAATAAAAATCTAATATTTTAATTATTTACATTTATAGAAAAAAACAATAAAAATTGTTTATATAGCTCTGTGGCAAAACTATTATTTATAGTATTAACTTGTTTAATAAAATAATTATGTTTTAGTTAAATGTTATAAGAATTTTAAAATAAAAAACACAGAAACAGTTGTATTGTAAATTAGTTACATTACTAGTATTGTAAACTAGTTACATAATTGTAAACTAGTTACAGCTATAAAGGCTAGTTATTTTTATTACAATTATAGTCCATGAAAACATAGTTAAAAATATACCTTGAAGCTACAAAAGTTTTGTCAAAACCTTGATCCATTTTAAAATATGGCATAAAAACATTTATATCAGGGCATTTTCAAGCCAAAAGTTTAACTACGAAATTGAACTGGTGAGATATTCAAACCATTTCGTTTTGTAAACAATTTTTTTTGCAACATTTAATGTTATGAATGTGAATCAATAGCATTTGGAAAAGTTTATTTTCAAAACATATTCGCCATGATTACCAACTTACTAAGAAAATAATAAAGGCGCTTTCGTTATTTAAAAATAGCAGGGTATAAAAAGACTGGGAAATAAGTACAGCCACAAGGCAAAAAGCAATCTAGCCACGGGCTACGAGTGTTGACAGCATACGACTTTTCAATAAAAATACATTACGTTAAAAAAAACAATAATTTAGTCAGCTTATGCCGTAAAATCAGGTCGTTTGTGGCTCAGCCACAAACCGACATGCAATGACCGATCTTTTTTTTTAATTCCGTTTTTTTTTAATCGCTTTTTAAGCTGAATTTACACAGCAAATAAAAATAAACTTATCTTGATTATTCATATTATTTTTATTTTGAAAATATGTTGGAGTATTATACTGTTTTTTATTTCGTTGATTATTTTAAGGTGTAGCCTTAGCCACAACGGCTATACCCTAGATCCGCGCCTGAGTATAGTATGTATAAATTGCCTTTATGCACCCCCTTTCATAAAGGCAATTTATACTCCTAGAGGTGTATAATTTGTCTTTATAAAAAGAGGAGCAAGCCATCCCCCTCCTCTGTCGGATTCAAATAAAAAAATTTTAATTACAATTTAACAAAGAAGTCTTTAAATTTTTTTTCTAAAGAAAAAGAAATTAGAATAAAAAACTATTTTACCACATTACAAGATGCATCTGAGTAAACATTATCATGTAAAGGAACAGATTAACCACTCCAACCTGAGAAAAAAACACACACAAAAAAACAATTTTTTTGAAATAAAAAATGTAATTATTTCTTATCTGGGCTTCTAGTAAACAATTTAATTTTTAAATTACATTAACAAAACAAAATGAATAATTGATAGTCAACTATCAATTTGCAAGCCATAAAACTTGCGGTACCTACTTGCAAGCCACAAAACTTACTGTACCTTATTTGCGAGCAACAAAACGTGCGATACTTATTTTGCAAGTCACAAAATTTGCAGTACCTATTTGCAAGCCACAAAACTTCCAATACCTATTTGTAAGCTACAAAACTTGTTGTTCTATTTTCAAGCCACAAAACTTGCAAAACCTATTTGCAAGCCATAAAACTTGTGGCAGTTATTTTGCTGGTTACAAAACTTGCTATACTGTGAGAATTTTTACATCTATTTCATATTCCAATTAAAAAAAATTAAACTTCCCTGATATAACAACAGTAACTAGCTGGAGTTTTTAATCTTTTGACAGTTCAATATCAGTTCCATCTTGATTCCAATAAGAAACAGTGTAAATTCTGCCTTGTTATTTCTTGTTTACATTTTTCAACTCTACCATCATAAATGGCAAAATGAAAACTTAAACAGAAAATTAACAATGAAAATATAAAAAAAATCAAAATTACAAACAACAAACTAACATTACTTGGACAAAACTTGGAAATTGCTACAAAGTTAAAGTAGTAAACAATAAATTAATAATTATTATTAATTTTTTATTAATTTTAAATTTATAATTCAAAATTATTAATATAAAACAATATTGATAGTAATACTATTATTACTATCTATACTATTAGTATAAAAGATAAAATTGTTATTGAATATTATTAGTTAATATTATTAACTAATAATATATTATTAATAATATGTTAATAATATGTTATTAATAATATGTTATTAATAATATTATTATATAATATTATAATAATATAATATAATATAATATAATAAACATATTATACTAATAATATGTTATTAATAATAACAATTTTATCTTTTATACTATTAATATTGGTTTAACATTATTAAAACACTTTAAAAACATTAACTTAATGATTAATTTTATGTTTTTAAAGTATTTTAATAAAAAAGTTATAACTGTTATTGACTATTAGCATTAATTTATTGTATACTACTTTATTTTTGTATTTAATAATTAACATTTAGATAATGGAATATATAAATTGTATACTACTTTATCTTTTAATTATTGTTTACAATAGCCTATTAAACAGGCTATTGTGATCAATAATTAAATGGTTTTATTTTAAAATGATAATAAGATGATGATAATATATTTTAAAAACACTAACAAGGCTTTTGTTAGTAAAATAAGTGTAAAGATAAATAAGTGTAACATCACATAAAGTATGTGATCTTTACACTTATTTATGTATGGTGTTTTTATAAAGTTGTCCACTGATACTTTGATCAAAGTATTCTCAATTGTAACTTAATTGAGTTAACAATTAATTCAAAAGCAACAGTTTTACTGAAGTTTTAGTCGTAAACGTTAAGAATTTAAAAAAAGATTTTTAAATTTATCAACATAATTTAGTTTTAAAAATAATTATTACTTATACTTTTATTTAAAAAAATAACTTAATAGTTGTTACAGAGTCTAACAGAACTTCATTAATTTTTTCCATTTTGTTATTTAATAATAAAAATCCGAATAACATTTTTGCAATAACAATTGTTTTGCGAATGGCCCCCCTAGCTGCCCCCGTAATTTGCTATAACCGAAAAAAAAATCAGAAAAACAGAAATTAGGTATCAAAAGTGTTACACTTAGTAAACTGCTTGCTCCCTTTTTTTTCGTTTAAATTTCGCATTTACATAAAAAATGCATATAGAAAACTGTTTAAAAAATAAATAGAGCGGGATCAACATTCCTTCTACTACAAATTCAAGTGAGAACATCGTCTAAATTTTCATGCAAAATTTGAAGCAAAATAACCCATAAAGAAGTTTAGTAACCATACATAAAAGTTATTTAGAAATCACGCTTAACCTTTCTTCTTACAAAAACAAATCTTTATTTGCATATTTTTCTAAAAAGAAAAACCACAAAAGTACGTTTTACTAAGACTACCGAAAAAATGCAGTATGCGTGGTGGAACCCTTTGAAACCTATCTGCTCCATTTATTTTTTCGTTAAAATTTGATATGCGCATAGAAATTGCATGCAGAAATTTGTTTGAATAATAAATAGACCGGGATCAATATTCCTTCGACTACATATTTATGTGAGAACATCAACCTATTTTTCAGAACCAAAATAATCCATAAAAAAATTCAGTAACCATACATAAAAGTTATATAAAAATTAAGATTAATCTTTCTTCTTTCAAAAAAGTATCTATCTGTATATATATTTCTAAAAAAAACTTAACAAAAATACGTTTGCCTAATTAGGCAAACGTATTTTTGTTAAATTTTTTTTTAGGTAGCACCACGATTTTTTTTAGGTAGGAAACACGATTTACGGAACCGATTGTGCTAAAATTTTGTGGCTCGTTTTTTTAAATTTTTTTTAGGTAGCATTAGCTAATGCTACCTAAAAAAAAGTTAAAAAAACGAGCCAAAAAATTTTAGCACAATCGGTTCCGTAAATAGTGATTTCCGCGTACCTAATATTAAAAGAGATTTGCTTTTTACTAATACAATCTATTTGACTTTGGAAAAATATATTGCTGGTTTAATACAGTTTTATTGATGTTATTCCATTTATGAAAAAATTGGGTGCTAGGTTTGAATACAACAAACAACATTTGGTCCAAATACTCCATTCATCACGAGTTTAATAAATAAGTTGCAGCATTAATTTTTACAAAACCAAAATTAAAAAAAAGTTGCTATATAAAAAATGTAAGGTCCGCAGCCATTTTAAAATCTCTAAAATTTCTTATGAACTTTTTGAACATGCGTTCATAAACATAACGCTTGTAATTGACTGTATGCTTTTAATATTTTGGGGCCCTAATGACAGTTTAGGGGGGGTAGGCGGAAGGGGCAGAGTCTTTAGCCACACAAAAACTCCTTGATCCGTCGCTTGGCAGTTTATTCATTTTTATTAAATTCATTTATTATAAAGAAGTGCACAACTTTGGAGCACTTCAAACTAAATCACTCTTATGCATGCTTGGACCTTACATTTATATTATTCTGCCCATACAAAAGATTTACTTTTATCCTTTTAGATTTATGCAGATTTGCAGATATGAATATTGCATTTATTAAAGGCAAATTCTATAAAATTCTTGAAGTATACGACTTTTTCTGGTTTGTATTTTAGTCTTATGGATCAAATGGATTAGACTACTTGATTACATAAAATTATGAACACAAGATCTATCAGAGGGTGGGGAGGATTTTCAGAAAGGAAAATTCAGTGGCTTTAATTTTTCTGAATTCTTTAATTTTTTTTAGATGTACCTGCAGGTTTCTATTGATATATATATATATATATATATATATATATATATATATATATATATATATATATATATATATATATATATATATATATATATAATATAATATATATATATATATATATATATATATATAAAATATATATATATATATATATATATATATATATATATATATATAAATATATATATATATATATATATATATATAATATATATATATAATATATAATATATATATATATATATATATATATATATATATATATATATATATATATATATATATATACAAACATAGTTTGTATATAATATGTATACATATATAAATATATATATACATATTATATACAAACAAAATGTTACAATATTATAAAATTAGGAACAATGTTTTTATTGAAATATCTTTAAATAAGAATGGAAATCTAAAATAAGAATCAAGTTCTTTAAATAAGAATCAAATTCCTAAAACAAGAATCAAGTTCTTAAAATAAGAATCAGGTTCTTAAAATAAGAATCAAGTTCTTAAAATAAGAATCAGGTTCTTAAAATAAGAATCAGGTTCTTAAAATAAGAATCAAGTTCTTAAAATAAGAACAAAAGTTCTTAAAATAAGAACAAAGGTTCTTAACTTCGAATCTTGGATTTTGCTGTGTAAATTTTAATCAAAAATTCATTTATTAAAATTAAATTAAAAAACTACGAAATATAGTTTCCAACATCTCAAAACAAAACTATTTCTATTCAAATTTTTATCTGAACGCATTAAAGTGTGACGTAACTATTGTATCTATTGCTATTTGTAATTACCAAACTTTGATAAATATCAAAAATTTGCGATTGTGTCTCCTGTGCGTCTATGCGGTTCTGCCCCAGAGGACATTTTTTAGAAAGAATACAGTTTCATAGCTTGCTTATAAGGTTATGTTAATATCAAAAATGGTTTTCACTTGATGAAGTAACGCCGATAACATATATCTTTAAAACTAAAATTAAATATTGCTTAATCCTCAAAAGAAAGTGTAATGATTGTTAGTCAAAACAATTTCCTCTGGACAATCTTTTATAACGCTAATTCTGCCTATTAACTACGTCAACAATTTTTTGGCAATTTTTACCTCTATCCTTGTCCTTATCAACAACTTGTCAAACTTTCAGTGACTCCCCTTAGAAATTACGTCAACATTCGATTACCCCCTCCCCCAAAAAAAATTAAGGTATTATTAACAAAAAATGTTTTAAATTGACTAGTTTACAACTGAAACAAAAGGTGGTTCAAAGTAAACTGTTTAAATAAAAAAATTTATTCAAATTTTAACTTTATTGAACATATTTCAAATGAATTTAATCATTTAAAATTACAAATGCTTGCTCTCAACAAAAAGTGAATTAAAGTAAAAGGTATTAAAAAAAAAAGGAATTTTTTAACTTATAAACAAAATTTCAGTTTAAAAAAGAATTTCTCTTTAGAAAAAAAAGAATTAAGGGTTCACAGATATGTTTACACGTTTCAAGATGCAGCTGAAGAGCTTCATCTTGACATCGAAAAATCACAAGAGGCTTGTGAGCTGCAGGTTGTACCCCTTGTATAAACGTTTAAACAATGCAATGTAGACAATGTACTTACATGAATCTTTTTTGAATGCATAGCAGACTGAAACAACAATAACTTTAAAAAAATAATAGAGTTACGAGTCTGGTGTGTAGTTATTAACAAAACAAGAAATTCTTTTTCGCGAATTGCACAAAAACTGATTACGAAAGTATTCCCTTAAGAGAATTCCGCACGAGGAATTCTCGCTTAAAAACCGTTGCGCTGAACAAAATGACAGTTGCAGTTTTGACACAAAACTATACAAGTTTTATATTTAAACTAGTTGTAATAATTTAATATACAAATATTGAAACAAATATTGAATAAAAACCAACGTTGAATTCTCTTCATAATAAATAAGAAGACAAAACATTACAGAAAGGTCTGGAAAAATATGATGTAAATATAATATTTTTATCAAAATAAACATTATTATGCATAATTTTTCAGAAACATAACAGGCACTCTTTTTAACATAAGCAAAATGAAGGAAACTGTTTTACTACGAGTGGTATGTTTTTTGCCATATTAGATAACATTTTTCATAGGCAAATGTTAAAAAATGGTTGTGTCTCCATATACGGTCCCCTATATTAAATAAACAAATGGTTAAGATGTAACAAACTCTCTGTAAGTGTTAAAAAGACCAAATTCATCCTATTTCATAAACCAAATAAATATGAAAATATTAAACTACCTGATCTAAAAATAAATAATACTAATATAAAAAGAGAAACTTTCTAGGTGTGATCTTGGATGAAAATTTGTCGTGGAAGCTTCATATAAACAATTTAGAAAGAATATTCTCAACAAACATTTTAATCATGTAAAAATCTATTTTTCATTAATACATAGCCATCTAAGCTATGGTAATATGCAGAGACGTATTTATATTTTTGGCGCCCAGAAGCACTATTTCTTTGAGCACCCTCTTTTACAAATATCTGTCAACTTTGGTATGAGGTTATTATTAAAAAACAAAAACATTTTTAGTACAAACATATATATTAAGTTAAACTCACTAAAATTTATAAAAAAAATATATAATTTTTTACGTGAGTTTTGTTTTTCAAATGAATTTATGATGTCATTAAAGTTAATATGTAAGGTCAGTGCAGAATCAATAAATAGAATTGCTAACCTATTAAAAGGATCACCATACATTTACGACCTCAAATAAAACTAATCTTCTTTAATCCTGAAAATGATCTCTCGGCTGAACAATTGTACGTTAGGTAGTATAGATATATTCTTAATGCTATATCTACTTATAGTAGATATAGCATTAAAGATAGTTATATAGTTCTTGAAGTTTATCAGTTCTGATCATTTTAAAATTATCTATTATAGTTTTATGCCTTATGTTTTCAATTAAAATCATTAAATAACTTCTGAATTGTTTACACTCGTTAGCAAATGAAGACAAAAGATCATTTTTATATATTTTTTGAAGTATTTCTTCTTTTTCGTAAACTTCTAATGGTGAATTTTAATATTTGAAACAAAAAATTTAATTTTTTATTGCTTTCATCAAAGAACAATTTCGTTCCTTCTAATTCAAAATGTAGCTTATCAATAATAACATATGTGTTAATCCTTAAGGAGTCTCAAATTTTAAAGGTTATTTTTCTATTTCTGTTTTCATTTTCTGTTGCGTATTTTTCGATACGTTTTGTGTCATGATTTATTAATTGCTCTTCTTCATCTTTTTTTTTTTTCTTCTCTCTTTAAAACATATCGAATAAATGATTCGTAAACTTACAACTGTTTTAAATCTTAATTGTTTACCAGTTTTGTAGAATCTTTCTACTATATCATCCTATAATGTGGTCATTACAGCTGTTTCAAGACTGACTAACTTTAAATATAGTCCATTAGCTTCTGATCTTGTGATTGACCTTTTTGAATTATCCTCTTTAATAAAAGAAAGTGCATTAATTAATTTATTCCAATTTTTGTTTACACTAATACATTCATCAGATCTTGCTGACTACCTGGTACCTGTTTTTTAAGTGATAAGTTTTCTGTTTTAATTTAATTGTTCTGAAGTATTTCTCATCTAAATGTAGAAGTACTAAAAAACTAATACATATTTTGAAGCAAAACAAAAAATTCAGAATTATTTCTACAACAATCCACAGCGCATTCACCGACAAGATTTAAAGTGTGCTAAGCATGGTATTAATGTAGCTAAAAGATTAACTTCTTTAATGCGAGCTTGAAAACATGTATATCTACTAATCATGTTAGACGCATTGTTGTAACATTTACCACAACAATTCCCAGCGGGCATAGACGTTTATCAGACGTCTTACGGACGTCTTAACTAGGTCGCGACGTCTCAAACCAAATTAGGAAGTCCTAAACACGTACGATAATGATGTCTTTGTTAGGACGCGTATTACGGGTAGTTTAAATTAAAAGTAGAAAAATTTATATATTAACTTAACGCATAAAATATTATGCGCTAACTCGGTTAATTAAAAATGTCTGCATGGTTTGGTTGATTATTTTGATATTATTAGTTATTTATCGTTTAAAGATATTTTTCAATTTTCTATATTCTATACTTTATGATCTGTAAACTGTAATCTATATATTTTTTTGAATAAAAGAAAATTGAGTTTAGTTATTAAGTGTAAATAAGTTACCAGTATAGTGAGGGAATTTTGATAAAAGATAACAAAATTGCAACAAGACGTTTCAGTTTGTGTTTTATAGAGTAGTGATGATATTGAAAATCTATTGTGTGCCTATGTTATATATATATATATATATATATATATATATATATATATATATATATATATATATATATATATATATATATATATAATATATATATATATATATATATATATATATATATATATATATACATGTATACAATTTATTTATTTTCTTCTACAGTATTCTAGATATTACAAATCTTTACAGAGTAGGATTTTTGCAATCTATAGCAATTATATAATTATTTATTGTGAGATAAAATATCATATTTTTTCGTTTATGCGACACAATGATCAAAAAGTGACCAACGGAGCCGTCCAGTTACGTAGACCTGGGAGATGTGAAAATAAAAACAGATTAAAGATGATGTCATTTAGGTAAAAAAAACATAAATTAATGCAAAGACTATTTAGTTGGAAGAGTAAAAGTTAGCAACTCAGGAAAAGGGGAATAAAAACTCACATTCTAGCCATCTTTTAACAAATGATGAAATAATGATCTATGAGTAAACAAGTCAATAAAAATCCGCTGGTTTATAATGGTATTCATAACTAAAATAATTGCACCATACAAGTGTCTAATAAATGTGGTACTATATATGTTCTAAACTCTAGATAAAAAATTGATAACTGATAATCACCTGTGTAACATAAAAAATATATAAATGTCGTTAATGTAACAAATTCATAATAAAAAGCTCACAAAGTGCAAAAAATACATGGGTTTAAGAGTAAATAAGTCAGTTGACCAGAATTTAAATGACCGCTTTGGTCTACCTAGTTTTGAGTAAGCTTTTTTAGTTATCCTTGTAATGTGGTCTTTCCATTTCAGATTATTACTTATATTGATGCCTAAGTCTGCTTCCTGTGTTGTTTCATTCAATTTAATGATTTTTCCATCATGGGTTGTATATATAACTATTCAGATTATTATTTATGTTTATACCTAGGTCTTGTTACTGTGTTGTTTCATTTAATTTGATGATTGTTCCATTATGGGTTGTATTATATATAATTATTTTTATATACATAATCTATCCGTATATATATTATAATGTTTACATGATGCATACATATTTAATTTATAAATGTGTGTGTGTGTATTGATAAGTGTTGTATACTGTTGGAAATACAACTCTAAAATAGAAAAAAAAAAAATTTTTACTATATCGATTTGATTCCGTCAAGTATCGCATATTTGATGTCAGATGTCGTTGCAATGCTAAAATTGTATTTTTTATAATGATGTCAGATGTCGTTGCAATGCTAAAATTGTATTTTTTATAATGGTTTTTTATTTTTTGATAATATAGCTAATGATTGCCAAAAGGCATGAAACTTTAAGTTCCATTATAAAGATGTATTTCTGCATTTAAATTTTTATATATACATAAATACATATCTAAATATATATATATATATATATATATATATATATATATATATATATATATATATATATATATATATATATATATATATATATATATATAAATATATATATATATATATATATATAATAATATATATATATATATATATATATATATATATATATATATATATATATATATATATATATATATATATATATATAAAAATTATGTTAGTGTATTCTACAAATAGAGTGATGTCTGCAATGTTTTTAAAGAACAGAGCAATCAGGGCTGTGGAGTCGTGGAGTTAGAGTTGCAACATTGTTAGTGGAGTCGGAGTCGCTAAACAAAATTGTGACTCCGGCTCCAATAGTAAAACTTCTCGGTATTGCATGTTCATGTACAAAATATTTAACCTTCAAAGAACTTTTTATATATTTGACAAAAAAAAAAATTAATTATCACGTAATATTTTTTTAAAGAATTCAAAGAAATATTTATTCAAAAATGTCACAGTCGTTCTCTGAAAATTTCAGAGAATAAAAGTTGGTACTTTTTTTTCCAACTCCACACGTCTGAGAGCAATGATAAATTTCTAATAACACTTATCTAATTCTCTTCGATAGTTTGATTCTCCATCAGTAGGTTCATCAGGATGTTTTCTGATGAATGAAAGATTCGTCAGGAAGTTTTCTGATGATCAGTAGGTTCATCAGGAAGTTACCTGATGAACCTACTGATGGAGAAACAAGGTGACGAAGAGAATTAGGTAAATGTTTTTACTAATTTATATATATATATATATATATATATATATATATATATATATATATATATATATATATATATATATATATATATATATGTTTGTTTATAGGTGATTCTTTGCAGTTATTGGCATTAGACAAAAACATTATAATTTTCTTGAACTTTACTTGTTTATATCTTTTTTTATGTTGAGCATGAAACTTGAGATTTTCTGCATTATTCAGTTTAAATCTACATCTTTCCAATCATTCATAGAAAGTTCTAGTTACTATTTACTACTTTATATAATATTTATATGGCTTCACTTACATATTTTACTTTTCAGAGTTTCAGAGAAAAGTTATGTTCCAACTTGCTGAAATTAAAAACATTTTAGTAAATAGAACTGCACAGTTCTCTAATGATCCAGAAGGTTATAACTTAAAAGTTCAAATGAACTTAATCTTTTGAAAAGAAAAGTTGCAATTGGAGATATCCAATACATCACTTTTGTATGCATGAGTTTCATCTTTATAGTTTATATGTTATATTATTACAATATTTCTTTTGAATTGTCATGAACATTTTTAATGTTTCTTTCGCATTATTTATTTTTAGGTAAAACAGTTATCATTAATTGGCGGTAAAAATTCAGCTGGTAAAATTAAAAATATTTTCCTCTTGTAAGTAATTAGCATAAGTTTCAATTTTAACATTTATGTTTAACAGCATGATATTTATTTATTTTTTATAGGTAGACTGACAACAGACGCTATTTTCAGAATGCAGCATGAATGGTCTAAAGAAGAAAAAAAAGTTTAAAGAGTTGACAAGTCTATGTATTGCTATCACTGGTATTCTCATTAGCTTATTATTGTGTTTAATTTTCTTTTAAAATTAAAAACGATCTTTTAATATTTTGAGAAAAAAAAAAAAAAATTCTCAATTTCTTTCGCTATGAAACATGACATGTTTTTTATTTTATGATCTTATTGAACTATGTCTTGTTGTTTTTATTAGATGCTGCTTCAAAGTCAAATAAAAGCTTAACCAAAATGGATCTCATGCAACTTATTGGGAGGTTAATTAGGCATTATTCTGACCGATTCAAGAGAAAATCCACCAATATCAATATCAATCAATGATTGCTTAATTAACTTCAATCAGTTGTTGTGTTTTTTATTTCTTTTGCATTTTTCAGTAATTTTCTTTTACTTATAATATACTATCGATTATACTCTACAAAATATATTAGTTTTTAATTTGGAAAGTGTAACTTTGTTTGAATAATTTTTCTAAGCTTTTGTAAAATTAATAATTTATTTTAAATATATGAAATTACACTTTATTAACTTTGATTTCTCTCTACACATTCACTTGCCATCTAAGGTGTGTATTGCATATCATTGCATTTTTATATAACTTTTTAAAGAATGTCTAGGTAAAATTACATCTCTAGGACGTCTGAATAAGACGCCCTTAAGTCTTTCGCATGAGACCTGCCAGAGACGTCCATAGGACAGTTGAAAAGACGTCTCTAGGACGTCTACAATAAACGTCCCTAGGACGTTTTGAAAAGTCGTCTTTAGGACGTCTGGAATAGACGTCCTCAAGTCTTTCATTTGAGACCAACTAAGGACGTCTTACGGACAAGACTTGAGACGTCTTAACCCAGCGGGCATTTTGACGTCCTAAGAACGTCCGTAAGACGTCTTAAGTCTCGTCCGTAAGACATCCTTAGTTGGTCTCAAATGAAAGGCTTGAGGACGTCTATTCCAGATGTCCTAAAGACGTCTTTTTAAGTCGTCCTAGAGACGTTTTTTTGACGTTCTAGAGACATCTCTGGCTGGTCTAATTTTAAAGACTTAAGGACGTCTTTTTCAGACGTCTAAAAGACGTTTAAATTTTACCAAGACATTTTTTTAAAAAATATATAAAAATGCAATGATTTACAAACACAAACCTTAGATTTGCCTTAATCTAGGCAAGGGAAGTTATAAAAAGAAATCAATGTAAATAAAGTGTAATTTGATATATTTAAAATAAATTAATAACTTTACAAAAAATAAGAATAATTCTTCAAACAAAGTTACATTTTCAAATTAAAAACTAATAGGTACAGTAGAATATAATCGATAGTGCATTATAAATAGAAGAAAATTGCTTAAAAATGGAAAAAAATTAATAAAATACAACAGTTAAGCCATCATTGATCGAAATCAATATTAGTGGATGTTCTCTTTATTCGGTCAGAAGAATGCCTAATTACTTTTAGTTGGATGGTATCCATTTTGATTAAGTTTTTATTTGACTTTAAAGCAGCATCTAATAAAAACAACAAAACATGTTTCAAAAAGATCATTAAAAAAAAATGTCATGTATACATACACTTGAATACATGTCATGTTCCATAGCCAAAGAAATTAAATTTTTTAGCTTACTAATGTGTTTGATTAATTAAAAATTAAAAAACATCATTTTTAATTTTTAATTAATCAAACACATTATTAAGCTAATAAGAATATTCTGACAAAATAGTGTCTGTCGGCAGTCTACATAATAAAAAAGAAGATAAATGCTGTACTGTCAATCATAAATGTTAAAATTCAAACTTTTGCTAATTACTTACAAGAGCAAAATATTTTTAATTGTATCAGCTAGATTTTTACCCCCAATTAATGATAACTGTTTTACCTAAAAAGAAACAATGTATTAGAAACATTGAAAATGTTTATAACAATTTAAAATATATATTGTAATAATATGTAACATATAAAATATAAAGTTGAAACTCATGTATAAAAAAGTGATGTATTGGATATCTCCATTTGCGAAATTTTTTTTCAAAACCTTAAATTTATCTGAACTTTTACGTTGTTTAAAACCTTCTTCTGGATTATTAGCGAACAGTGCAGTTCTATCTACTAAAATTTTTTTCATTTCAGCAAGTTGGAATATAATTTTTTTCTAAAACTCTGAAAAGTAAAATATATAAGTGAAGCCATATAAATAGTATATAAAATAGTAAATAGTACATCCTATATATGTTTAAAAAGAGGTAGATTTAAACTGAATAATGCAAAAAATCTCAAGTTTCATGCTTAACCTTAAAAAAATATAGAAACAAGTAAAGTTCAAGAAAATTATAGGGTTTTTGTCTAACGCCAAAAACTGTAAATAATTGCTTCCTATACACAAACACACACACACACATATATATATATATATATATATATATATATATATAATATATATATATATATATATATATATATATATATATATATATATATTAGGGTGTCCCAAAAAACAACATTTTTGAAAATAATCTGCTCTCACCCCCTAAATGTGTTCTATCTAATGCAAAAACACTAGGTTTAAGTTTTTTTTGAATAAAAAATATTTTAAGGGGTCCCTCAAGACACTCAAATATTTAATGGGTTCCTAATATTTTCGAAAAAAAAGTTTTTCAAAAATATGTCAACCTGGTACTCAAATGAAGCAAAATTATATAAAAATTTTAAAAATAATACTCATTTTGAAACAAAATTGTTATTTTTGGTTTTATTACATAAAAAATTGCGTTTTTTAAGAAAAAATGAAAAAAATGCATTTCTAATGTTTTTCTAATGTTATGATAATTTTGATAAGTTAAAAATATTTCGAAATGAATATTATTTTTGAAATATTTATATAATTTCGCTTCATTTGAGTACCAGGTTAACATATTTTTGAAAAACTTTTTTTCGAAAATATTGGGGACCCATTAAATATTTGAGGGTCTTGAGGGACCCCTTAAAAGATTTTTTATTCAAAAAAAATTTAAACCAAGTGTTTTTGCATTAGATAGAACACATTTAGGGGGTGAGAGCAGATTATTTTCAAAAATGTTGTTTTTTGGGACACCCTAATATATATATATATATATATATATATATATATATATATATATATATATATATATATATATATATATATATATATATATATATATATATATATATATATATATATATATATATATATATATGTATATATATATCTATATACATATATAATATATATATATATATATATATATATATATATATATATATATATATATATAAATATGTATATATATCTATATACATATATAATATAATATATATATATATATATATATATATATATATATATATATATTGTATATATATATATATATATATATTATAAATATATAACATATATATATATATATACATATATATATATATATATATATATATATATATATATATATATATATATATATATATATATATATATATATATATATATATATATATATATATATATATGTATGAGAGTATGTAAATTATTATTTTATAAACATCAATAAATACGATTTTCTCTCAATACTAAATTTATTTTTGATTTTTTATTTTTTAAAAGAAATTTTCGCTGGATTGTTGTGACCAGCGTTTTCAGCTTAAAAGATTTTGTTTGTTTTTGTTTATATGTTATTTTTAAATATATAAAACTAAAGTTTTCGGGCTTAGCAGGTTTTAAGCTCTTTTGGAATCAAATCTTTTGTACCAAGTTTCAGAATTGCAGCATTACTAAAAGCACCATATAAGGGTAATAATAAACAGAAACATTTTTGGCACTGTGCCCCTCAACAAAGTGGTATCAATTTAGATGAGGGACAATATGTGTCAACAAAATTCTGAACACCATTTCTAATGCACTTACGTCAGAAAAAGACGAAACCATTCCATTGACATATAATAAAATTGCCGTTTAAAAATAACATATAAACAAAAACAAACAAAATCTTTTAAGCTGAAGACGCTGGTCACAACAATCCAGCGAAAATTTCTTTTAAAAAATAAAGAATAAAAAATAAATTTAGTATTGAGAGAAAATCGTATTTATTGATGTTTATAAAATAATAATATATATATAATATACATATATATGTGTGTGTGTGTGTGTGTGTGTGTATGTGTGTGTAAGTTTGTGCATGTGTGTGTATTGATAAATGTAAATATAAAGTGTAAATGTAAATATAAATGTAAATATATATATATATATATATATATATATATATATATATATATATATATATATATATATACATATATATATATATATAAATGGATATATATATATATATGTGTATGTGTGTGTGTGTGCGTGTGTGTGTTTGTGTGTGTGTGTGTGTGTGTGTGTGTGTGTGTGTGTGTGTGTGTGTGTGTGTAAGTTTGTGCATGTGTGTTTATAAATGTTGATATTTATCAATACACACACATACAAAAGCATATTCATTATATATATATATAAATAAATAAATAAATAAATATATATATATATATATATATATATATATACATATATATATATATATATATATATATATATATATATATATATATATATATATATATATATATATATATATATATATATATATATATATATATATATATATATATATATATATATATAATGAATATGTATGCATCATATAAACATTATAATATAATGTATAAATCATGTATATATAAATAATTATACATCAAATTAAATAAAACAACACAGTAACAAGGTGTCAACATACGTAATAATCTTAATAATTATTTATACAACCCATGATGGAAAAATCAGAAAATGGAATGAAACAACACAGGAACAACAAAATATATACAATTTATTTATCCATTTACCTATTTCTAGAGCCATGATATTACCAATCTTTGCATATATATATATATATATATATATATATATATATGTTGTGTTTTGATTATTTTAGATTATGTTTTTATGTTTTGATTATTATGATTATTTTTATTTTAGAGTAGAAAAACTTAAGAATTAAAATATTGTAGTTCTTTATACAAGTGCTTCAATTTTCTACTCTTATCAAAATAAAATATGGATAGAGCTCTAAGACCTTCTCGTTTGGATACATTACCGAACTCACCTTCGGCAACAAAATTATTTAAACATTGGCTCAGAACATTTGAATATTATCTTGATGAACTCCCTCAAGAACTCAATAAGTTAAAAATCCTGACTAATTTTGTTGTGCCCGATGTTTATGAAATAATAAGCAAATGTCCAAATTATGAAGCAGCAATACAAGCTTTACAATCTGTGTACATCAAACCATCAAATGAGGTTTATGCACGACACCTCTTGGCAACTCGTAAGCAACAGCCAGGAGAAAGTTTTGATGAGTATTTACACACTCTTAAAGTTTTAGCAAAAGAATGTAACTTTAAACAGGTGTCTGCTATTGAATATCGCGATGAATATATTAGAGATGCATTTATAACAGGGATAAATTCACA